GATGTGCACCAGCGCTTTTTGCCCATTGCCCACCAAGTAAACCTCTAAAACATGTCTGACCCAAATGTCGAAGTCCTCGCAAAATTATGTTCTTCTGTAGTTCTGTTCTCTTTTCCTTTTACCGAAATTCATTAGTTATCTTTGGTACAAGGACGGATTTCGAAGGCTCATCTCTCTGTCATGCTATGCTGCCTTAAGCCCTTTTATTTTTTTATCATTTGAGTTTGTTTATTCTCATCTTTAAAGTCTTAAATTTCATGCTTATAGGGCCGCGGATCCAGGTGTGATAGAAACACGCATCATGCGGGAGCTCCCTCCATGCCTTTCTCAGTTCGCGTTCTTTATTCTACGCACCCTGAACCTCCTACAGCAGCCAGATACGGGGATTGGTGCTGTCCTTGACGCAGCCTTGGCACCGCCTGTAGCCTTCCTGTCAAAACCCTCTCAAAGCTTCTGCTATTTTGATGCAAGAAAAATGATGTATCGACATTCAGTACCAGCTCTGAGTTTTAGTTGCTGTATCGCAGGAAGCATCTGGGAAGTATTTTTTTGGAGGGAAGGGAAGAACCATCAGGTCTTCTGTGCTGTCCTATGACATAGAGGTGGCCAAGAAGCTGTGGGCAGCATCTTCAGCACTGCTCCAGGAACTGCGGCTTAGAGACTGTGAACTGAGGACTGGTTGAACCAGCTTGTAAATTTGACATGGTTAGAGCATCTCTAGCCGTCCCTTCGGGGACATCCGATAAAATTGGAATGATACAGAGCGCATCTCTAGCAGACCCCCCAAGTCGCACTTGAGGAATTTATTTTATTTTTGGTTTTGAGGAATTAAGCCCTATCTAACAGATCCTATATTCCTATAAAAATACTCCGTCCGTAAAGAAATATAAGAGCGTTTTGCTCACTAAGTAGTGAGCTAAATGCTCTTATTTTTTTACAGAGGGAGTATAAGGAATTAAGACACTTCCTGGACACGGTTTCAATACTGAGAGTGATTTCTCTCCACGATACCAAGCTCCAGGCCTCTGTTTTCCTCTGAAATCGCTCGCCCCGCAGAAGATACACATCGGCTCGCTCACAGTGAAACAGAAGCGACGACAAGGGAGTGGCACTAGGAGCTCGACCATGACGGTTCTTCCTCTCCCCGCTCACCATCATCTCTGCTCCTCGTTTCCTGCTCGGTGCTCGCCACCGCTGCCCATCCTCTCCAGCTCGCAACCGTTGCCCCCTGCCTGCACCTCAAGATCTGTCGCCCCTCGTGGAGCACATCTCCCTCCCAATTCATCAACAGAACATCCAAACATGAAATTGCTATTGCCTCCTTTGTTGAATTCCCACCGGCAATTTCATGTGCAACCAAACAATAGATTTGGTATTGTAGCATATTTCGGAACAACACTGATTTGGTATTGGACCCAATGAATTCAGAGGTTCTCAATACATACATCCAAACAGAGCGTGAATTGTCTGAGTGTTTGGCTCTTAGCTGTTCACGGAACCAAGAATCAATCGACACATTGTAGCTTTTGATGCACTAGTGAATGACACTGATTTGTACCAAGCACCTGCCCTTGTACTCTTGCTCATATTGGGTGCTTCTTCATATTAATGTTGTTCAAAATTGACTTAATTTTTTTGTCAAACTCCAAATTAAAAAAACTAGATACTAAATTTATTGGGATATCCTCCTCATGTGGGCTGTGAGAAGATGATCATTTGAAGACTTTTAGGCAGCTCAAAGAGGTGCAGAAGCACGCTACCCATTAGGGTTATGACTAGGGTCATTTTGAACTTTGCACGTGAGAGGATGGGGATGCTTTACTCTCCATCTAGTAGTCACCACCACCATATTTGCTGAGATTGTTCCAATCCCTAGCTTTTGAGCCCCAAATCTTGTTGTGTAAATCCAAGATCTAAAAATCTTGATGTATGGGATCCTCTAGTGCTATCCAGAGAAGAACTTATTGTATCCCACATTTAATAATAGTGGAAGAGGATTTGGGTGGTTTCGGCCCATGTTTTTCCCCTCGAGTTGGGGGTTTTCCACGTAAAAATTTGGTGTCCATGTGTTGATATTTGTTGCCGCTTAGAAAGTTACGCCTGCCATCAAATATCATATAAGAAGTGTCCAGGGTGTTACACTTTCCACTAAACAACGCCTGAGGAGTGTCTGGGGTGTTGCGAAACTTATTTCCTCCATATATATGTTGTTGTGTATGTCTCCTTGCATACTAAGAAGCAACGATTCTTTGAGTTAGTACATGATGCGGTACTGAGGTTACTTTGTTTTCGTTGCAGCTTTCAGTTCACCACAAGTGTGTTTGTGTGTTAATTCCCAGCAGAGTGGCATCAAACTTTGGTTGCTTAGGAGGTTGACAATCCCAATTGCTTGATTGTTGCTGGAAGTGCTGCTCACAATGGCTTTGAAGGAAAGCGGTACAACAAGTGGCATGATAAAACTTAAGTCTTTCAATTACTCATTATGGAAGCTCATGAAAGACATCCTTTATTCCAAGGATTTGTATGAGACAATTGTGAAAGACAAGATACCCACCGATGTCGCGAAAGAAGAATGGAGACAATAGGTATGATTCGGTTGTACATCAACCACAATATAGTGCACCATATTGCAAATGACACAAATATGTATGAGATGTGGCAGAAGTTGGAGTCTATGTATGAGAGGGCCTTGGTGATCAAAAGACTTGCAAAGGTTGAGTACCGAGATGGCACAAGTGTGACTGAGCACTTGAATGTCTTCCAATTCCATATAACCAACTTTCAGCCATGAAGATCAATTTTGAGGATGAGGTGCAAGCATTGTTGCTGCTGAGTTTCATGCCTGATAGTTGAAACACGCTTGTTGTGTCACTTAGCAATTCAGCTCCAGATGGGAAGCTGACTTTGGAGATGGTGAAGAACAACATGTTGAATTAAGAAGCCAGAAAGAAGGAAAAGGGTGATGGTGCCTCTTCTTGTGATGCATATGTGGTTGAAACCCATGGGAAGTATGACAATCATGGATGCGCTCACACAAGATTTCAGCAAGGCAAAAGTAAATCCAGAGGGAGACCAAAGTCAAGACAGAGAAAAGACATTACTCGCTTTCATTGTGGCAATCTGGACACATAAAGAGCGAGTGCACTAAGTACAAAAGAGAGCTTGCAGGGGGAAAACTTGCAAAGAAAACCGAGCAAAAGCAGCTCTGCCATGACTAGAACAGATAAGGACTATATTGTCATTGAAGAAGAAGAATGCTATAGTGTTGTTCGTAATGGTGCCATGAGCTGCGTTGTGGACTAGGTGTGTCCTTCCACATCACATGACACAAGGAGTATTTTACATTTTACACTAGCGATGTTACTGGCCAAGTGAGGATGAAAAATAGTCGTTCGCCAACAATTATTGCCAAGGGCTCTATATGCATTGAAACAAACACAGGTTGCTAATTGGGTGCTCGATGATGTGAGGAATGTTCTTGACATAAGACTGAATTTATTGTCAGTGGCCAAGCTTGATGATATCAAACATCCTATTTATTTTGGTGAAGAAAAACGGAAGCTCACCAAAGGCTCTTTTATCGTGGCTCGAGGAAGTAAGCAGGGTTCTCTCTATGTGACTAAAACCAAGTTGTGCAATGAAGTGTTGAACATTGCTGAAAAAAGACATTTGGTTGAATTATGACACAAGAGGCTTGGACATATGAGTGAGAACGGCATGCATGCTCTTGTTCGCATGGACTACCTCTCTGAGTTGAAATGTATATTCTTGAAACTCTGTGCACATTGTTTTGCTGAAAAATAACATAGGGTTGCATTTTGTACACTTCCTTCACACCGAGCAGAAAATGTTCTTGATATTGTGCACATTGATGTTTGCTCTATGACTGAAAAATCCTATGGTGAAACAATATACTTCCCGACTGTCTACTACTTGACTTCAACGTAGGAAGGGGCGATGAGGACGATGCGCCTTCACCTTACTTTAGTGTTTGTAGTCGTCGCTAGGTGGTCTACGAATCTATTTGTCTCAAAATAAGTGACTCAATTTTATACAAAATTGAATCACTTATTTTAGGACAGAGGGAGTAAATAATAAGGACCAATCGAATGCAGCGACAATTGCTGCATGTGCTTACCCCAAGAGTTCACAAAGTATGGGCTTCTGCTCTGAAAGACTGATTGTTCGTTGCCATATCTGGCAGTACAAGATGATAGTGATACAAGATGACACTGTCAAACAGTGCTGCTAATACTCAACATTCTGAAGAATATATTCCAGGTCATGCATCTGAACATCTAATACAGCACCAATCAGGTACTCTATGTGTACTATTAGGACCGACCGATCCCCAGCCTAGTTGCAATGCAGAAGTTGTCATCTCACAAGAGAGAATGAGAAGGGAGGAACCCGACTTTTAGATTATTTATTCATGGCAACTTGGAAAAAATGGTTACGTGAGTCGTCCAACCAAAAAGATTCATCCGGTGGATTCGTCCTCTCGCCTCGTACCAGGCATCGCTTGATATGCTGAAAATATAATCCATGTCCCCTTATGGGCTTGTGAAACTCATAGAGTCGTAAGCAACACGCACACATAAGGTACTTAAAAAAGCGAAGTCATGGGAATCAACCAAATCTAGGAAGATGGACCAACTGATGCGCCTCCATTTCCATGCATACACATACACAAACAGCACGTTTACATGCATACTTATTTCAGATGGCAATCTATTCTCCACTTTAAAGTACAACTGAGTTCACTGGCAGTATAGACTCTCAAGTTCTGGACGAAATTAACTGTGCCAACCAAAATTAACTGCAACTTTTTATCCGACTCCACCCAACAAACAGAACAGAAACGAATAAGCTTCTCCAGTCTTTTCAGTTCATTCAGGTCTCGGCAGACCATGCACTCTGTTGCTCTCACCTGCAAAATTGGTCTAGTAAGAATCATACTCGAGGGCGGCGGGTGCGCAGGCCTCCTTCTTTTCCTTCCATCAGTTGCTGGTGGTCGCCGGGCGGTAGTACTGGTAGTAGCCCAGCGCGGCGAGCAGGGCGACGAGCACGGCAACGGCGGATATCACCATGGCTGGGGTGGCCCATGACCGGTACGACTGGGCTTTCTTCCTCTTCAGGATCGCCTTTGGCAGCGGCGCCTTGGTCTTGGTGACTACATTCCTGGTCCGTGTGTTCTGCTTCTGTTCTTTGTTCACTACAGGAACTGGAGTAGACTCATCCTCTGCTTGGGTTTCTGCTGCTTCATCAGACTTGGTGTCTGAGTCAGTTGGCTCGTCGGTGTCAGCTGCCTCAGTTTTCTTCTTGGTTTTCTTCTCCTCTTTCTGAAAAAGTTTGTCACCATTGTTACACTACAGGAGAGAGAGAGAGAGAGAGAGAGAGATGCTAATGTGTCTACCTTAAGCTTCTTCTCGGCTTCCTTTTGTGCTCGGGCTGCAGCCTTCGCTGCTTGCTTCTCGGCCTGTTTCTTCTTCCTTTCCAAAGCAAGTCTATTCTTCTCGATTTCCTCCTGTCTCTTGATCTCTTTCAACTTTGCTACATCAACCTCTTTAGGCTTGGGCTTCTCCTTTGGAGGCTCAGCCTCATAGGCATCATCATCAGCATCCACAGCAGCTTTTACCTTAGCTGACTTGGCAGATGCTTTTGCAAGGGGCTCTTCTTTGGGGGCGACTTGAGGAGCAGCAGCTTCCTTTGCTTGTTTCAAAGGCGCTTTTGATGGGATAGGCTCCTGTTGCACAGGTGCTGCTGGCTGCTGTGTTTCGATAAATATGGGCTTCTCATCAGGATTCCTCATCCGGCCATCTCGGGTCAGCTGTCGTCCATTGAGGGAAGTGAGGATCCTCTTCTCGTAGTCCTCTCTAAAGGTCTTGCTGCCGCACCATTGTGTCATGAACTTCTCAACCTACCAAAGCGCATATCAACAATTGAGTATAGAAATACTTAAGTCAATGAAAGATGAGGTTACAGGAGGTGGTTGTGGAAGCAAACCTCAGTCTTGTGGAGCTCTTGCAATTCTTCCACCTCATTCCTAGAAGAATAATCCCTGGCTCTGTTCAGAACTATGCGGTTTTGATGGAAGGATGCATTCTGATCAAGATGAAGGCAACATTGTCAATAGATAGTCTCTACATAAATATTAAGAAAAATCAAAAGAATTTGTTAAGACAGTGCGGTAAATAACCATTATTTGTGACAGACTTCTAATAAAGCATGTTCCAACCACTGCACTGGCAGTGCCATCTCAGATATTTCAATAAGTGACTAACATAATTTGATGCTACATTCAAGTCAATAAGGAACTTTTCCTGATACCAAAATGCACAGGTATGATGCAGAGAATTCGGCTTATCAATATGTGGCTGTCACAAAGAGCTTCAAATTTTGAAAAGGCGATGGCTGATCATATATTTCCACAATCAAGAAAGGGAGTTCAAGTGCTGTTCAGGCATGCAAAAAGATGATGCCTCATTGCGTAAAACTGTAACACAACTAAAGTACTTGGAAAATGGGGTGGTCTCAAACTCTCAACAACATTACAAGAGCAAACATAATAATGAGCATGAGAGATGTTGAAGGTATGCTGACTTACGGCAAGATCACGCGCTTTTCTCAATTCGGTCAATGACTCATACGCTTTATCCTTTCTGGCGGTAGCTGCATTTAAATCTTCTTGAAGCAAAGCAATCTCGCCATCAACAACCCTCATCTCATCGTCCAGGACCTTAATCTTAGACCTGACTGCTTGTCGCTCCTTCTTTACTCCATCTATACCATCCCCGATGAGCTGAATGGGAAGTGACAAACAAAATGGTATCTAATATTTATTTATGCAGGAGGTAAATGCACAATAGAAGACAGAAGTCACGGCATGGGATACTTACTTTCACCTGATCCTGTATGGCATCTCTTTCAACCACTGTATCTTGCATTTTAGCTCGTTTAGCAGCATTGGAACTGACCTTCGGTCTGGTTTTTTCAAGGGTCTTAATTTCTTTGATCAGCCGTTTCTCCTCATCTAAAGATATGCTCTCATGACTTATGCGGTGATTCAATCTCTTGATCTAGGGAGAATTGAAGGAGAATAAACAAACAAAAAATGAGAATACTGACTGAGAAGGGTTGAGTTATCAAAGTGCTGATCATACCTCATGCTCAAGCTCTTCGAGTGAAGAGCACAAGCCTGCACTCTCCGCCCGCATGGCATTATTTTCATCACGGAACTTGCCTAAACGGTTTCTGTAAGGTTTCATCTCCTCCAACTTCTCATTAAAAGCTTCATTGTACTGCCTGTTCTCAGCACTCAATGGCCTTAGCTCCGCGAGAACAGCAGCACGCTCAGTCTGCAGAGGAAGTGTGAAGTAAGTTTCATCACTATGCTTAAAGCAGGCACACTGATCCCCTGGTTTACTTCAACAAGAACACATACAGGCAAGCAATAGTGCAAAGAGTCACTTTAAATAAGTTTCAGAGCATGAAACATCTAGTCAAATTAGAATTAGGACTAAAAGAGGTAGGGCCTACTTCGATGTTGAGTTTTAAGAAGAAATACCTTTTTAGCTTTTATAGCATCAATAATCTTGGCCCGAGCTTGGATCTTATTTTGGAAGTCCTTCTCAGCCTGCTCGAGTTTTGCTCTCAGCTTAGGGTCCTCAAATGAGCGGACCTTGACAAAGTAGAAGGTATAAGTTTGCTTAGGTTCAGGCCACTCCTCCGCTGCGTCCTTTGGAGGTGCCATGTCATTTGCCGCAGCTTTGCCATTGTCTGAACCAAAAACAGCTGCTTCCTCCCGCTCCTTTGCAGTTGCTTGGCTTTCCTTGTCTTGAAAAAGGGTCACTTCCTCATCAGCTACTTTAACCTGTGCTGGTGCAGCTTCAGCTCCGACGACCTCCATTCCCATGTCCCTGCAGATAGGTGTACATAAACTGTTACCAAAACAGGCAACCATGGTTATGATCCAACAGAAAATAGCACAGTTTTACTCGGCTATCTTTTCCCTTCTCATCCTCAAAAGGAAAGCCGTTTAATGGATTCCCCGGGAACTCAATAACAAGAACAAAAAAAACTGGATGTATGGGAGAACATTACTTGCTATAATTCATCAAAGTTACTAACTCAAAATCTAAGATGCAGAAGTAGCAGATGCACCACCATAGTTCACGGAGACTATACCCAAGGAAAGGAACAAAGAACATAATAGACAGAGCTCCCGTGTACAGAGCATTTTCATCTCACCATGAACCAGACAACCAAATAATCCAAACATCTACTCCCTCCGTTCCATAATATAAGAGCGTTTTTGACACTAATGTAGTGTCAAAACCACTCTTATATTATGGGACGGAGGGAGTACCATATAACTGAACCTAGGCTAGATTGAGGCGCAAATCACAAGGCATGCAGATTATGAAATCATGACCTAATCAAAGACCACATCACAGGAACATGAATCAAAGACCACAACCAAATCTACTCAATGCTTTTTCTGCAAGGAAGAAAAGGGGGGCCAATTTGGTTCACATAGGGAGTCTGCAAACTTGGGGGCAACAGGTCTGGAAGAGGAACTTACTATTTATATGCAAAGTGAGAGGGGGCATTATACGAACAGTAGACACAGTGGTTATAGTTGTTTTTATGTTTTGCCATTTCTGTGATAGTCGGAAATTTCTAAAAGTTGTCTAACACAATCTTGGTCTGGGTTGAGTTGAAGTTTTACAAGGCAAGTGCACATGGGTTTGGGTGCATATGTCATAACCCAAGGCTCGCGTTGTGTAGCCAAGGTGGTGTTGGACACTAAACAACTGGTCAGGTAAATGCAGGCCACTCACCACATTGCAGGACACCAAGATGATGGGATTGCATGGAATTGTATGTTTATGGTAATACTTTATGAAAACATAGTTAATTTGGTATTTGTGTTGTGTTGGTTTCTAGTGGGGAAAACATGCAGTTTAGTGAAACCAAGTTGGCACGTAATTTAAACTGAAAGCAATCAATCAGCATAACCATTGTCCAATTAGAGAAATGTTTTTTTGCGCGAATACAACTAGAGAAATGCTTGACTGGGCTAATAAGAAGAGTACACTTGAAATCATAACTACTCCTAGCTAATTTGTGGTGCCAATACTAGCGGAATTGGCTGGAAATGGAAACATAAAGGCTAAAGCGATAAAATGGATAATTATCATCAAACAAGCTCATGCTTCACTTCCCATCAATAGATCTATTTCTTCCAAAACAGTGAAGCACCTTTCTATCCATGACGATAGGGGAATACTATAGGTTACCCGATCTATGTGTCAAAATGAGTGATCCTAACTCAAGTCACCGCACGCACCCACCAGGCACTCCAGGTTGCCGTCAGCTGCAAGTCTCGTCACTACAAAACACTATAGTACAGATCGCAGCAGGCTGGACCTCCTCGTGGGGGCAGGTAATTCCGCATCGGAAGCACCGGCCGAACCCCGAACCCAGCTCCATCGCGGATCCACCACCCGGCGTGGTTCACGAGGCATCGCGGATCACAAGCCCGTCTCCTCCATCCAGCACGCAGTCCAAGTTCAGGCGGCCAGGTGATCTAGATCTACGGAGCTAGCCGCGGCAATTCCCACGCGCGCATCATCATCGCATTGCCTGGCTCCCGGCACCGCAGATCGCAAAACCAAACCAAGCATGATACAATCTAAGGAAAAAAAAAACACGCATCAACTTGCACCAGCGCATCAGATCACGCGCGCTTCCTACTCTAGGACACGGATCGGAGAAGATACGAACGGGGTTCGAGTAGGCCGGCAGCCGAGCGGGGTCGGGAGCTCACCTGGGGAGGGCGGAGCGGGATCGGACCGGGGCCGCGCTCCGATCTGGCGGCGGGGCAGCGGCGGTGGGGCGGCCAAATCTGGATGGGATTTGGGAGGGGAGGGGGGGTTTGGGCTGCGTGCCCAGAACTGGAAGCGGGGTTATAAATACGGGAATGGTTTTTTCCTTCTATATCTCGTCTCCTTCTTTCGCCGGTTTTTGTCTGGTTGCTATTGGTGGGAAATTACCGGTGCGCTTCCCCCTTCGCACCCGGCGTGCTCGGCCGCATGGGGAAAAAATCCGACGGACGGACGGACGGACGGACCCAGCCCAGGGCGGCGCTGCGGTGTGCGTCAGCTGGATGGAACGTGGTGCGAGTGGCGGGTCCAGCTGTGCGGATAATCGGATAGAGGCTGCCGGTTGGGAAGCGTCCATAAAGTTTGAGCGAACGCGACCTGGATCCAGTGTCACGTTTTTGTGCTCTTGCATTTCTTCTCGAACAATGATTCAAATTACTGTATACTCCATTTCAGTGGGTCTCCTTTTTTAGCTACGCTTGATTTGTGATCCAAACTCATTACTACTAGCATACAATTCTTAGCGAATCAAAATTTTAGTTTGACCTTCACAAACCGAGCTTTAATAGCACATTAACTACCAAAATCTTAGCGTTTCAGTGGCGGATCCAAGGTTAGAAGTTAGTCGGGGTGAACTTTTAAAGGAACGGAAAAATCAAGGCAACGAATGCAATCAAATAAGACAATCAAGGAAATTAATTGGCCAAGAACACGCATCCCGGCAAGACGATCAACGCAATGAATTATTCAAAGTGGTTTCATTCGCAAGAACTAGAAAAAGTATAACGCAAGAAAGGAGTATATAAAATCAATCTAACTTGCACTCATGCTGACTGAATCTTCCATGCTTTATCCCAAAATGTCTATTCTTGAAGTCAGTTAGGTACTTGAAACAAGTACACAAATCAAAATAATCTAAATCATGGCATAACATGACACTTATATTCAAACAAAAGATAAGACAAATTAAAGAATGATAGAACCCAAGAGGAGAAAATTAGAGGGCAGTAGAAGAACCTGCTCTTTGGTGCATGTGTTGGCTGATCACTACCAGTTTTGAACGGGACGTGTGGCAGTGGC